GGGAGCTGGATCAGAAGTGGAGCAGCCAGGACATGAAGCAGCACACAGAAGGGATGCTGGCACTGCAGGCAGTGGTTTTACCCACCACACCACAGTGCAGGCCCCAGCAGTAAAATCTTAACATGAGCAGAGCCTGAGGGTGGTGGTGGGAAGGGGAGACTAGAGAGACTGTGACCCACTCTGCAGCCCAGCGGGGCTTGAGGGAGCTCCAGAGGACAGTGGGGTGCATGGAGGACTCAGTGGGGATGCCCGCCCCATCCTTCACGCAGGATGGCCGTATAGAATGGTTCAGAGCCAGTGCTCTGTATACCCTGCCTGGGTTTAAACTGGGCTGAGCCTCAGCATTCTCTTCTGCAAATTGGAACTCATAATAGGGGTATTATGAGGACTTGGTGCGAATATATATATATATATATATTTATGAGGACTTGGTGTGCATATATATGTATATGTGTGTATGTATGTATATGTATATATATATATATATATATATATATGCATGCCAAGGGCTCATCAAGGCAAGTGCCCAAATAATGGTGGTTAAAATAGTTCTTGCGTAGGAAGTGGGGAGGAAGCCATGCCTTTGCGCACCTGGAGATGAAGGGAGGGCTCTCACTGGGCTCTGTCCTGGGCACGATGAATGAGCTTGGGCAGGGAGAGCCACTAGAATGTGCTGCCTGTTTGTGCTCTGGGTGAAGCCACCACCTACACCCCCTTCTTGGCTTCCATAGCCTTTGCTGCATGCCGAGCCTTGTCCTAAGCCCTTCATAATCTCCTTCATTTAATCCTTACAACACCCCTTGAGGTAGGTTAGATTTTATGATTCCACTTTACAGCTGAGGATATTGGGGCCTGGAGAGATTAACAACTTGTACAAAGGCACACAGCTAGTAAGTGGAAGAACTGGGATTTGAATAAGAGCAGTCTATCTCCCAAATCTGTGTCTTGAACTAGATTTCTACCTGGCTGTGCTGTCTGGGACTAGGACAATTGGTGGGCTGATCCTCTGTGGTCTGAGTATAGCTGTCAAGGGGACAGGGGTCTCTCAGCTAACATGGGCCAGGGGGACCCCAAATCATTTTCCTTCCCAGTCATTTTTTGACATAGAATTGTCTGGTGTAGGTTCTCCACTTAGCTTTCATTTCCTTTATGTCAATCTTGGGCATTCCTGAGAGCTGAGATCTTAGCCTCGTGTGCCTTGCTCCTAGCATCATGCTGGCCTCGTAGTGGGCACTAAACTCACAACAATTTATTATCATTGTGGACACCAGTCTGGCCTCCTAGTCACCATGCTCCTTGTGGTTAGCATTTGACCCACCTCTGTAAAGACTCACATGAATAGTTCCAAAAGGATCAATCTATACTGAATGGGTTATGACCCATATGAACCTCTGGGCCCCAGGTCTGTAGGATAACTTATGAACTCATACACTGTGAAGGGCAGATGCCTACAGGATCTTTTGTATTCTGTGAGCCAGAAGTAATACTCCTGGGCTACTCCTGTCCATATTCCTGCCTCTACCTTGGGAGCTAACTTAAAATTACCCTCTGCAGATGCCAAGGTAGAGATGACCCTGATAATCCATGGTAACACAGCCCATACTTCCTGCCTAGTACACATAGGCCAGGACCTCTCATTTCTGAAGGATGACAATGATAATGAACACTGTCTTTACCACTTTTCCACAGGAGCTCCAGCTGAAGAGACAGAGTCTCTGGGGCTTCTGCTGCTAGCCTAGCCAGTCCCAGCCTGCTCCAGGCTATGGGGATCCAGATCTCAGGACCTGCAGTCTCTGATTTGAGATGGCCAAGCCCTACCGAGGGGCAGTGGGGTCTTATGTGAGTATCATGGGGCTGTGGGAGGAGAGGTCCTGCCAATAGTGATGGTGGGAGAACCTTAGTGTCTGAAAAAGAACTTTGGAGGTGACCCTTTTCTAAGTTAGGAGGCAGAGAATGAAGAGGTTAGGACAGAGGCTTTGCGGTCATTCATTCATTCAACAAGGATGCACAGTAATCATGACAGACAAAATCCATGGGACATACATCCTAGAATGTGTGTGAGCCCTGCCTCTCCATATGTAGCAGTGTGGGCTTGTACCAGCTGGTAGACTAACCTCAGGGTTTACATCTGCACAATGGGGACGATGACAGTATCTTCCTTCTTGGGCTGTGGGACAATTAACTGGGATAAGGGCTTATCATAGACTCTGGCCTACAATCCATGCCTAGTAAACAGAGGACAACAACTTCCTCTTCTGGCTATTTCTTAGCTCATTGTTGATCCCAGCCAGGGAAGGGTATCCTGGGGATGTCCTCAAAGATGCAAATGGGATGCCTTTGGATGACTCAGTAACTCTGAGCCTCCTGAGGTCTCAGTCGCAATGTAAGTGGCCTCCTGGACTTCCTCATTAGAGTGTGGGAGGGACCAGCGTGCAATGTGGACACCTACAGCGGAGGGAAGAAGAAAAGCTCCAGGCAGCACCATGGACAGCGTAACTGCTGTCCGTGGTGCTGATCGCTGATCGCCTGCGGTCGGCCTCTCAGCTTGCAGGAAGTCAGACAATCGTGCGCTTCTCAGGGCCGGAGGGAATGTGTGACACCTGTGCATGCATGTGTGTGTATGTGTGTGTGAGTGCAGGCATGTGCATGCCTATATGGGCATGTGTGTGCATGCAGGCATGTGTGTATGTGTATGTGTGTAAGCTTGTGTGTGTCATGTGACTCAGAGCACACAGTGATTCATTTCAATAAGGCAGTTAAATCTGGCTCCTCCCTCAATCCTGCAGGCACCGGGGACCCAAGCCAGGCAGGATAAAAGAGTGGCTCGAGGAAGAGTGATGTCATAGGACAGCTGCCCCAGGCTTCAAAATTCCTCCTCCATGGACAGTCAATCCCCCCACTTCCAGAAGTCAGGAGAAAAGACTCACAATAGACAGCTTTTGTGAGATCCAGGCAGCCTCTCACTTAATCCTTACAATGGATAACCGTGGAGGCAGGGACTCCCTGTCCCAGTTCTATGGGTGAGGAAGCAGGCAGAGGGAGATGAACTAGCTTGCCTGGGTCCACAAAGCCAGTGGGTGGGTGGAGCTGGGTTTAAGCTCAGGTGGTCTGGCTCTAGCATTTTCTCAGCCATCACTGATAGCCCCTCTCAGCACCAGATGGAAAGGACAGGAAACTGAGGGTCTTCAGCAAGTGGTCCCCAGGAAGGCTTACGGCAGGGGGTGCACAACACCCTGCCACCGGAGGCAAGCCAAAGAGGGGAGCCAAGGAGAGATGGGACTCTACCCACTCTTTTCAGCTTCTTTGTCTTTCTGTCAGAAATGACCATAGTGTCAGAGGGGCTTTCTTGCTTGCCTGGGGATGTATGACCAGTCTGTTGCCTTTGGGCTGGGACATGGTGGACTGCTTTCCTCCCCTGACCACTACTGCACTACTGTCCACACTACCTTGGGTCCAAGGTGGGGCTCCTTGTTCTGGGTTAGGTCCCCACTGATGTAAGAGAAGGTCCCAAGACCAGACTGGCTTCCTGTGGCTAAGACCCCTTCCCAGTGAGCTGCCTCAGGACCTGGGAATTGGGCTGTGCCACTCTGATTTGATGTATGTCTAGGAGGGCATCTGATGCCCCAAATGAGCAACTCCCTGAGACTGTCCAGGGAGACAGGGAGTCCAGACAGATTTGATTTAATCCTTGGCTACTCCTGTGCCAGCTCTGCCTGCTCCCCACCAGAAGGTCCTGGAACACTCGGCAGCTGAGGCCACACAAAACAGGTGCCCCTGTCTGCCGTTGCCCCGCCACCACCTCTAGATTTTGGATACAAGAGTTGATCTCTTTACTTCCTGTAACAGCTAAAAACAATTTTTAGAAAAACCCCAAAGGCATTCATGACACATTAACAGACCTGGTAGGATGTGTCTATCTGTCTTGAAGAGTGTGGGAGACGTTTTGCATATAATTGTCTTCCTATTTGTGAGATGTGATGGTGTGGGGTTAAGTCTGTGTTATCTCTGCACATGCACGACGGCATCTCTCTCTCTCTCTCCCCCCCGCTTTGTGTGTGTGTGTGTGTGTGTGTATGTGGAGAGAGAGAGAGAGAGAGAACACTTGAGTCCTTGCATAAGACTATGTGTCATGCCAAAGGAATGAGTCTCAATCTCTCTGTTTCCCTCTCCCTATCCCTTTTAACATGCATGTTTATATGCACAGTCTTATACTTACTATGCATTTCTGTGCACACCCAGGGTGTGACTTATTGTATGCATGTGTGTGTGTGTGTCCTGGCAGGGCGGCATGTGTGCCCATCCCTCACCCTCTCTGGGGCCATCTCTCTGAGCCTCACAAGGTGTGCACGTGCCAGGATCTGCGGGTGTGATGCTGACATCACAGCTCCCTTCACGACACTGAGTTCCCGACTCCCCCACCCCCAACCCCGCAAACAGCACAGTCGTGTCTTTGAAACGCTCCCAGCACCTGGCTTAATAGACCTTCCTGTGAGCATACTCCCACTTCCGCACTGCTCCCCAGTGACTGGGGACCTTTTGTCAAGCACATATGAAATTAAGTGAAATAAAAATCATATTAAAAATTATTACCATCTAACAGCCATTAGTCTGCACGCTGCTGTCAGCCTGTGATGGATTCCTCACTTACTTCAATGAATGTTCTAACGACAGTGATAAAATCACTCAGAAAAAACAGAATACACTGTTAACCCTCTCCCCATCGACACTTGTTTTTCTTGGAGAGGAACACATGGAGTGCTCTTGGTGGAAGGCGTGAACCCTCTGTGAGTCTCCAGGCAGTGGGTGGAGCCAGTGTGGGGCCCTGGGCTTCCTCCTCTGAGTCTTGGGGGAGAATTTCCCTCCTGAGTCAGACAGGGTCTCTGGTGTCTGAGCTCTGGGCTGACATTTGGGTTCTGGGTCAGGTCAGGGAGGGCCTAGTTCTTCGATTTTAGTTTTATAATATTTATTTTTATTTAACTGAAAGGGAGAGAGAGAGAGAGAGAGAGAGAGAATGAATCTTCCATCTGCTAGTTTACTCCCCAAATGGCTGCAACAGCCAGGGCTGAGCCAGGCTGAAGCTGGGAGCATGAAACCCCATCTGGGTCTCCCATGGGAGTGTTGGGGGCCCAAGCACTTGGGCCATCCTCCACTGCCTTCCCAGGCACATTAGCAGGGAGTTGGATCAGAAGTGGAGCAGCTGGGACTTTAACTGGATCTCTGCTATGGGATACCAGCACCACAGATGGTGGCTTAACCTGTTGCACCACAGTGCTAGCGCCTAGTATTTGAATTTTAGGCTCTGAGCTATGGTAATTTATTGATGAAGCCCTCCTCAGGGCTGGGGAGAGGTAATCAGATGAGAAGCACACGTGAGAGGTGGGATGGCCAGGCCCAGCCATGCCGTTCTGTCTGCAGGAGAGAGGGCCGGGCCACGGACGAGTTGTTGAAGGAAGTAGAAGCTGCAGGACATTATTCACCGGGATAAGAGGTGCAGGGCCTTCTCCACAGGAGGAAGGAGCTAGTCTGGGAGGACTTGGACATCACAGGGGGCAGTGGCAGAGGCTGCTGCCTCCTGGGACCACAGCCCAGCAAGGGACAAGGCCAGAGAGACAGATTCAGCACCCAGCACAGGGGGGAAGCCAAGGGGTGGATGAGGCCATCAGAGAATGGCAGGGGCAGGGAGTCACAGGGACAGGAGCTTGAGGACCACCGGTCCCTGAGAAAGGCCCAGGAGGGGGCAGAGAAGTCGTGGCAGGGGAGGGGCCAGAGTGCAGGAAGGGGTGACGCCACAGGACTCAGATGGGGACGGGGAGAAGGTAGCGAGTGGAGAGTGTGGGCCACCGCAGGGTTGTGTTGCAAAGCATCAGGTGACTGAGCAACATGGACAGCCTGTGGAGGTCATGGGCAACAGCACAGGGGTGTGGAGGGGAGGGGCAGGGTTGCCCTCACCTGCAGACCCCTTCATAAAGGGAGAGGGCCCCTCCCAGCACCTGCTCTGGGTAGGATGACCGAAACTCAGTTTACCCAACGCAGGTGCTGGACCTGAGGAGCCCCAAGGGCTTCTCCACTGTGATCTGGGCCCTGGGCTAACTTTGCTCCTGTCTGCTGGGCCCTGTCCAGCCCACAGGGACAGGGTGTCGGGCCGTCCTGGTATCGCTTGGTGACCCTTGGAGGAGAAGGCACTGAGGGAGGGGCTCCTGCCCCAGGCTTTGGGGCCCCAGAGCGTCACAGACTCTTCTGGTCCCTTCGTGGGTGAACTCGGGGCTTCCAGGGAGCTGGTAGAGTGTGTAAGGTGGTGCCATGGGGCCTGGGCAGGGGTCGCTGCCCTCCTGGCTAACCTGTCACCCCTCCTCCCACCACGAGGCATGGTCTCTGCTGCGGGCGGGGGGGATGGTGTCCCTGGCGCTCTCCCAGAGTGCCCTTTGTAAGAGTGGCATGCACCTCCCACTGTGAACTGAGACATGAGCTCAAGGGAGAAAGTTGACATGGAGGCCACGGGGCCCGGGGTTCTTGGGAGACGACACAGGCTCTTTTCAGCTCAACTGGAGGAGGCTGCTGTGGTTTGGTCCCTGCTTCCCCTTGGCAGAAAGATGTCCCCTGTGCCCCTTCCTTGGGATGGCGTGGATCCACCTGTGCCAGGAAAATACCGCAGCAGATCAGCACGTGGACACAGTGACATCAACAGGACTCAGGAGACCCAGCCCGCAGCCTGGGACAGGGCCAGAGAGGCACCGGTCGCAGCAGCCTTGCCCACCATGGCTCTTTGTTTTGGGAGCCACACGGCTTCTCTGCTGGCATCTCAGTGTGTGCCTGTTTGGTTCTGTCTGTGCTGGGCTCTGCCTGCACCTCCGGGGCTGTGGCCATGCAGCACGGTGTCCCCACAACCTCAGGACAACCAGACTGATTTGTGCCCCTTGATCTTGGGTACAAGCTCTGCATTCCCGGGCCCGAGGACCCAGCTGGCCCTGGCTGAGTCAGGTCTTTGTCTCCGGCCCACTCAACTACGGCCAGAGCCATATAACATGGTGATGAAGCCGGCAATCAGTGAAAGGGATGCAGCTGACTCTGCTCACGTAAGTGCTTTCCGCGTCTTAATTCCTCTGCCTCACGCAACACCCTGGGACACGGGAGCTGCAATAAGCAGCCTCCATCTGTAGATGTGGCACAGAGAGTTTTAGTAACTTGCCCAAGGTCACACAGCTTGTACATGCCCAGTAGTGTGATCTTAGCATCTGCAGGTACCCTCTCATGGGCACGGCTGGGAGGCCCATCCTTGAAGAGCAGCCTTGAGAGCAAGTGAGCTATGAGCTGGACAGAGACCTCTAGAACCAAGTTAGTGGATGCTAATGCCGGACCAAAGAGGCCTGGGTGGGTACCAGAAGGAGGTGGTCTAAGGCAAAGAGCGGAGAAGCGGGGGCTAAGTGAACTGGGCAGGTACCCGCCAGGCACCCCAGCAGCAGACCCCTGCCAGACTGGGGCTATCAGTGAGGGTCAGGTCTGGAGGCTTCAAGCTGAAGCTCATGGGTGCTCCCAGGAATGGGCGGCGAGCTTCATGGAGTAGCCAGGACTTCCTACCACCATGCCAGCCAGGCAGATGCCACCACCTGCATCTGCCACCAGGCTGGGCTCTCACTGGCTTAGGACTGGGCAGGGTGGAGCCCCAGGGGCAGCTGCAGCGAGCTGGAGCGGCAGGGGCTGAGGCATGCAGGCAGCCCAGGCGCTGGGCCGTGCACCCGGCCCCTGGGCACCCCCTGCTGCCGCACCCCCCCCATCTTGAGTTCCTGACATCTCAGTCGTTGGGTCTTCACGGGAACAGCCACAGCCAAAGCAGCCCTGGAGGGGTGTCCCTCCCCTGCTCAGGGAAGCAGAAAGGCCTGGACTCACCGGCCCAGATTCAGCTAGGGCAGCTGGGGCCACTTCTTCTGAGTGCCATTTGCTCCTGGATTGAAGCCGGGTGTTGAGTCCCCTCCTCCATGGCCATGGCTTGCATAGCCACATTCAGCAGGTGCAGCAGACCCTACACTGCTCCACTCAGGACAGGGCTGTGGTAGGGGAGAGAGGGAGTCAGAGACAAGTTCAAGCGGCAACCTTGGCACCGTGGGAAGCAGGGGCTTTGTGCACATAGAGCTTTGGTTAGGAAAGTGAGGGAGCAACCACACCTTAAGAGCCGCCTTGGCCCTGGCACCTGAGCCTCATCTCAGGTGTCATGGCCAGAACCACCAGGCCCAGGACTGGGAAGAAGCCACCCCTTCTGGCCCTGAAAAGTCACCATACAGAGGCTATGGTCTCACCCAAAAGTTTGACCCTGGCATTTCTGGGGTGTCCCTTGTGATTTGGGGGTGCAGTAACTCAGAGGCTATTCCTAGGGTAGAGGCCTCACTCATTCAGTCCTCAGGTTTTTACGACAGGCCTACTATGTGCCAGGGATTGCAACCGGCACAGCCTCATCCAATAAGACACGAATGGACCAACCATTCTGGCAACTCCTGGTACACTGACAACTCCTACAAAGAAAAGTACAAGCAGCTAAAGAATATGTAATAGGGAGACCAGAACTTTTCACTAGCCAGGGTTTTATTTATTTAAGTGTTTGAGAGGCAGAGGGAGGGAGAAAGCATGTTCCCGTCTGCTGGTTCACTTCCCCAGTGCCTACGGTGGCCCTGGGCTGGGTTGGGCACTAAGGTTGGGAGCCAGGAACTCGACCCTGGAGCCAACACTGCTGCCTCCCAGGCTCTGCATTGGCAGGAACCTGGAGTCAAGAGTCGAAGCCGGGAATTGAACCCAGGCACTCAGACATGACTGCAGGCATCTTAACCTTAGGCCAAACACCTGCCCCCGGAGACCAGACTTTGGCTGTGGGTCAGGGAATTTAGCAGAGACCTAAAGATTGAGAGAGAGTCAGGCAGGTGAGGAAGCCACGGTTGGGGGACTCACACCTGGAGAGCTCTGACGCAGAGGAGGCAGGTGCATTCGAGGGAGAGGGGCCCGTCCAGTAACGGGATGCGCCAGCTGGCAGGCTGGGTCTGAGGATCTGGCACAAGCCCTAAGGGTGTGACCAGGGACAGATAAGCAGGGGTGCCCTGGGTATGAGGACGCTGGTTAGCTTTGGGCCAGCATCACTGTCCAAGGAGGGAGGAAGCCCTGAGGCAGGGCCCAGGGACTGGTGTCTCAGTCCTGCTCAGCCCGGTTCCCTTCCACGAAGGTTTACTGAGCACCTGCTGGGTCTGAGAAGGGGCAGAGCTCCTGGCCCCACCTGAGATAGGAGGCCGCCACTCCCGACGGAAGGCTGGTGTTCCGGGCAGGGACCTGGCACACTAACAGGGGCAGCACCGTGGAGGAGGACAGGATGGCCCCTCCCATAGAGATGTCACTGATGGTGATCAAGTGACTGCTGAGCCTCTGGGTCCCCTGCAGGGGTGCTTGGGGACCTGGTGGGGCTGAAAGTGTGAAGTCTCTGAGCTGAGAGGAACAGCAGGTCGGGGAGCACGCAGTGGCACTGAGAGTCACCCTGGGGGTCCGAGCAGTCACGGGGTCCCACGTGGGCTGGCCATCCCAACCCAGCAAAGGCACCGAGGACCTGGGCCAGAGACAGAATTGAGTGGGGTGGGGGGAGGAGGAGGGACGCAGTGGTTGAGAGGAGCTGCGGGGCGTAGAAAGGGTGTGTGTGGGTGTATGCACATGTGTGTGTGTGCCCATGCATGTGTGTGCACATGTGTTTAGCGTGATCGGGAGCAGGAGACCCTGGATTCCGTGAGCTCTAAGGGCTCCCACATTCCAGGGGGGAAGGGCGTGGCTTTGTGTCACCAACCCTGGGGCTGAGAAGCAAAAATGAAGGGAACCTTGTCTGGCCAACAACTGTGGGGTGCTGTAGGATCAGCTCTGGGTGCCTCCTGGGCTCCACCACTGAGGAGCTGTGTGACCCAGGGCCCCTCTGACAGGGTTTTCTCCTCTGTGAAATGGGCACAGGATCAGGAGCACTCGGCGAATGGCGTGGTGGGGGGGTACTCGCAGCTCCAGGACCTTGTTCCAGGGGAACAAGGGGGTGCTGTGGGTGCAGGACAAGAATGTGTCTGACCCCTCGGGGCCTGCGGAGTTGCCTGTGGCCGGGGAGAGGGGGTGTCCAGGCAGGAGCTGAGGCCATTCTCACAGGGGACATCAGGGACTGGGGCAGCGGCTGGTCCACTGTGGGCCCCAAGAGTGGCCTCCCCCCACAGTCCACACCACCGCTGCCCGGCTTCAGCGAGTTGAGGGCTACTGGGAAGATTCTCAACCTTCTGGGCATGGTTGGTAGGGTCACAAACCTCGCCAAGATAGGACAGGAGAGTGCTGTGGGTGGCTGGGGAGTCCCAGGGCCACCGGGGGATGTCCCCCAGCAGTGTGCTTGCGTGGGGTGGAGGGGGTGTGCCAGGGGGATGACCCACTGTGGCCTGCCAGCGCTGAGGCCTGGGAGTGCGTGAGGCCTGGGGGACGCGAGGCCCTCCTGGTCACAGGTGCCCAAGAAAGAAGGCGCTGGGCTGAGACCTGCGGGACCTGTGCACGCAGCAGGGCTGGGGCTGAGGAGGGGCGTGAGGCAGGAGGTGCTCACCGTGAGGACCACGCAGGTGCTTGGGTTCTTCGTGTGTACAGTGGGCACGCGGGGGCTGAGAAGCGTCCTGAGACGGCGCCGTCAGGCACCGCGCCCTAACCCTTTGCGGACTGACTCAGCCTAGGCGACCGCGCACCCAGGGCCGCACCCAGGGCTGCACCTGCGGGGAGAACCGCGACCCAGGTCAGGCTTCCTTCTCATTGGCTGCAGACCTGGGGGTGGGGCTGATGCAGTACCTCAAGCCACGCTTCATTCTCATTGGCCCTGAGCCCAGGGGGTGGGGCCTGGCAACCGGGCAGGTGGCACAGTAGCTCTGTCCTCGGCGCTCACGCGTGGCTTTTGTGATTCTTAGCGGTTATCTTCTCAATATGTATTACAAATGGACTTTTCTTTTACAAACCTTTGTGATTTCTTCTGAAGATTAATAAATAATTTGAAAGGAAGAGTTACATAGAGGGAGAGAGAGAGGGAGACACAGATCTAACACCACCACCCCCACCCCGGCTCACTCCCCAAATGGCTGCAACGGCCAGTGTTGGGCCAGGAGCCTGGGCCCCTGCACCCACGTGGGAGACCTGGATGAAGCTCCTGGCTCCTGGCTTCAGCCTGGCCCAGCCCCTGGCTGTTGCAGCCATTTGGGGAGTGAACCAGTGGATGGAAAACCTCTCTCTCTCCCTCTGTCTCTCCCTCTATCTCTGTAACTCTGCCTTTCAAATAATTAAATCAATCTTTAAAAAAATAACAACAGCAGCAAACAATGAGATCAGCCCACAAGGTTTTCTGAAGAGCTAAGCCTCGTGGAGCTCAGAACAGGGCGGGGCCTGTTGTGGGCGCCACGGCCATCCCAACCGTGTTCCTGTCCACACTGTCACCAAGGATGAAGCCAGCCTCTCCCAGCCCCTCCCCGAAGGTGAGGCAAACCACGAACCCCACCAGGGCCGCCTGGGCAGTGGGTGAGCTGGGGGCCAGGGGCTTCACAGAGTCCTGGGCACACCACGGGGCGCTGCTGTCCTAGGTGAGTCCAGGGGGCTGGGTGGGTTCAGGGCTGGAGGGGAGCAGGGAGTTGGGAGGCCGCCTGGAGGCCACCCAGCGGGGCCGGCTGCTTCTGTCTGTGACGGCTGAGAAAGCGCGGGAGGGGGCCGGGCTGGCCCCTGAGGACGGTCAGGGAGCCGTGGTGGCCTTGTGCACCGCCATCATCCAGGGGCCAGGGGGCCCTGGTGAGGCCACCTAACGAGCCCTGCCGGGGCAGAGGTGGCCCGGTGGCCATGCTCACTGAGCAGAGCAGTGAGATGTGACCGGGAGGAAGGAGGGCCTGCCCGGCGCGCTGCCCTCACGCCCGCCTTGCCAATTGCCTGGTGGCCCTGCACCACCAGGCTCTTAACCTCAAGGCCTCAGAGTTCCTGTCTGTAAAGTGGGAGGGGGTGGGGCCAGCGCTGTTACTGTTGAGCCTCAGAAGGTTCCAGAAGAGGCAGCTCAGGGTGCCAGTGGGGAACCGAGTTGCAGGGGCTCATCTGCTGAGATTTGCGGCGTGGCCTCGGGCGAGTGGCTGGGCTGTGGAGTCTCGGGGCGTGCATTGGTTCCCAGGGCTCGGCGTGGCTGGTCCGTGTGAGCTCAGTCGTGGGGTCCTGGGGTTCCAGCTGATGACGTTGAATGGAAGGGGAACTCCAGCAGCTCCGTGGGGGCCAGGGATGGGCAGAGAAGAGGGGACAGAGGCGAAGCCCCCGGGTGACCCTGGACACGTATAGCACCTCCTGCTGAGCTCCAGTCTATAAGACGGGGCTGATGGTGAATGACGGTGAACGGCTGGGCCGTGTCTGGCTCCCAGAGGGCTCCTGCTGACGCCACCACTGATCGTCCCTGTGTTTTGTTGTTGGTCGTCGTGCCATTGTGCACCTGCCGGAGTAGGGGTGTGGCGAGACAATCCCGAGGTGGAGAGACCAGGGCGGGCCAGGGCTCTGGGAGCAGAAGGGTTAAGTCTCCATGGAAACAGGCATGCATTATTTACGTGGCCTAATGAATAAAACATTTATGTGGTAGGCTAATAAATTCCCTCACACAAAGCAAAGTAAGCTATGATTTAAATATAGGCCTCCACTGGCTGCCTGAGTTATGAAGCCTGCTCGGGGGACCTCGTGGTTTTACACCTCCATCGGCTGCAGGGAGGGGGTGGGGGGCAGGGAGGAGTGGGGGGCAGAGACCCCTCCTGGTAAGTGGCTTTCTGGGCCCCCCTGACCCGAGCCCCCACCGCCTCTGCTGAGGCTCTGTCCCCCAGCCCGGGGCCTTTCCCCTGAGTCTTGGAGAGTGTTTTGGGGGACAAGTGGGGCTGTTCCCTGCTGCAGGATGGTGTTTGTAGAGTGGGGAATACCAGGGGTGGGGCAGCCTGCTGGGGTCCCCTGGGGGTGGCAACTCTTCCTGGGGAGATGAGCTGCACCTCTGAGGCCCAAGGGCTTGGAGCCGTGGGCTGGGTACCATGAGAGCACACGAGGAGGTTTGGGGACCTGCCAGGAAAGGACCCGGATGCAGCCATGGGGAGCAGAGGTGGGGTGGGAACAAGTGGTGGGCGCAGAGATAGAGGTGTGGCAGGTGTTTGGGGGAGTGGAGTAGCCCCACCCCCACCCCATGGCCTTACCCTGCCCTTGGTGGCTGTCACCTCTTGGTGGCTTTGTTCTGTCCCTTTTCTCACTCGCTTTTCTCTTCCTGATTCATGTCTTTCTCTTGCTCACTCTCAATTTTCTTCCTTCTCTTTCTGTCTCTCTTTTAAAAAGATTTATCTTATTTATTTGAAAATCAGAGTTACAAAGAGAAAGAGGGAGAGAGACAGAGAGAGAGGAAGAGAGAGAGAGAGATGACATCCATCCGCTGGGTCTTTCCTCAGATGGCCACAACAGCCAGGGCTGGACCAGGCCGAAGCCAGGAGCCAGGAGCTTTATCTGGGTCCGGGTCCGGGTGCAGGGGCACAAGCACTTGGGCCATCCTCTGCTGCTTTCCCAGACCACCAGCAGGGAGCTGGATTGGAAGTGGAGCAGCCGGGACTCGAACTGGCGCCTGTATGGGATGCTGGTGCAGCAGGTGGTGGCTTAACACGCTGTGTCACAACGCTGGCCCCAGATGATGGCCTCTTGGGGAAGGAGTCAGAGGCAGTGACCCTGCCCCGGGGGAGTGAAGTGCACAATTGGTGGAGACCCTCCCTTCTTCGCCCCTGGGGCTTGGCCAGTGGGAAATAACAGAAATGGTTTAAAAGGGGGCGTGTGTCTGAGGTCCAGGGCACCTCACGTGGCATCCACAAGTGCTGAGATGTCCAGAGTGGTTGCCTTACTCCCTTGTCTGACGCCTGAACCGGGATGGCTGGAGAGCAAGGCTGGGCAGACACTGCCACCCCCCTCCCCTGCCTCTCTCCAGAGCTGGCTGGACTCCCTGAGAGCTTGGCAGTCCCAGGGTTAGACACAGTGAGCTTCCTGCAGGGCACTGGCCTGCCTGGGGCTGGTGAGGCAGCCTTCAGAAACTGCTGCTCCTAAAGCCTGGGCCAGGGGCTGGCCGAGCCTTGCATTCGCTTGTTCTGTTGGCCAAAGGTGCCACACAGCCCGGCCCCGACTCCTCGGTGCGAGAGTGGCACACGTGCTCGGTGAGGAAGGACTTGGGGACAGCATTTGCGGGCAGGGGACCATGTGATCCTGGCGTCATGGTGGAAGGGGAGCCTCGCGCCTCCTCCCAGCTAGATGAAGGCCTGCGAGCCCAGGCGTGCATGTTCTTTGTTACACATTCTGCTGGGCACTTGCTGTTTTGTGGGGGCCCTGCAGTGACAGGTGGCTGCTCAGTGCCATTCTAAGTGGGAATTGGAGTCCATGACACCGTGTGTGGCTTTGGTGGCACCTGGGCTGTGTGGGGCATCTCTTAACCCTTTGGCAACCCTGCCAGGGGGGTCCCTTTGGTCCCATTTTGTAGCTGAGGAAGGTGAGGAGGGGAAATGACATTTGCCGGGGCTCCAGGGTGAAGTGCTACTGGGATACAGTCTGCTGGCACATCCACTATTCCACCCTGCCTGGCTCTGGGCCTGTGGGTGTGGTTTGGGGGATTTGCGTGGATGTTCCACCTGCTCTGAGTGTGAGGGGGTCAGCAGAGCCAGAGCACTCCGGAGCTCAGCAGGCCCGCCAGAGGCTGGTGGTGTGGTGGTGGTGCTCACCAGCCCTCCCCCTCTCCATCCCCAAGGCCTTGTGTGCACCCAGCAGGGCTCCCTGTGAAAGAGGCCCCGGGAAGGGGGCTCCAGAGATGGTTGGGGCAGGGCTTTCAGAGCCCCTCATGCCTGTCTTCTGGAAGTTCCTGGAAACCCAGGCCCCAGTCCTGGTTCTTTATCCTTTTAGACATGCAACCTCAGGTAAGCAAGGTCCAGCCTCACTTATCCTCCCTCATCTGTGGAGTGACCACAAGGGACTAACATTGGAGGTATGGAGGGGGTCAGAGGCAGAGGTTACCCTGCTATGCAGATTCCTTGTTGAGTAGGTTTCATTTTGGAAACTTGTAAATATTTCGTGTAAGTGTAAAACAGCAGTCTCTAAGGATGGGAAGTGGGACGAGGCAAATGAACCTAAGTACGTGACCAGCTGGTGGCATAGTCACAGAAATGGAGAGAATTGAATCTACAAGAATTTGACTGAAAATCACTAGTGGGTTTGTGCCAAGGGCAAAAGGAGCTGTGGAAACAGAACTACACTAATTTCAATCATCGCAGGGTTAGTGAATCATTGGTTCTGTCATTTGAAGAATTTTCTGTGCAGAGTGAAACAAAGCAAATGAATGGCGTTGTATGGGTGCCGCTGGCAGGGTTTTTTGGATGGGAGAAAGGAGATGCAGATGTAAGACCAAGGAAGTGAAATAAAAAGCCCACAGCCCAGAATTTGGAAGCGTTATAAATTCATTGTATAGTTTATGTAGAAAATTTGAAAAAGAAAACATGTTGCCTATCTCTGCTACCAAAAAGTGCCTACAAAAATGGGCAGCCCACTAGCAGTGAGCACTCCCAGTACTCAAACCGTGGTCTCTAAACACTGATTTCCCCTAGGAGCCGGGATGTTATGGAGAAATGAATGATTCATTGTCTAGGGGAACGATATACAAGCTAAACCTGGAATAGCTTTCCTAAAAGCAA